GATTAAAAATGATTAAAGGATAAAAAATGTGTAAAGGGAATATCTTAAGATATATTTTTTTGTTAGCCTTAAAATATTGTTTTTATTATATTCACACACACACACACACATTTATTGCTATTCATACAAAATTATTTTTCTCTTTTATAATATCTATGTATAAAAAAAGTTTATCTTTAAATAATACATGTACCTGAAAAACATTTACTATTCACTAGCATTAATTTGATTCAATATTTTTGCATTCTCAATCCGCTGTATAAGTGCATTGAATATTTTTACTAGCGATTTGTCTGTTGTTTTCAACATAACAATATTGGTACTATAAAAAAATGAAATAATTTGTATCGGGAAAACTGTGATGTAGGATTCTATTTCATCACTATTTCCTGCAATAGTCTTTTATTACTGTTTTCCTACACTCACGAGTGTTTATATTCGTATTTGTGTATTAATACTGAATTAATACACTCATACATAAGCGTATTTATACGTACATATTGGAACTTCATCGAATTGAATAAATCTCCCGCGGCTTTGCTTCGTCTGTCTGTAAAGAGATATGCTTGTAATCGCGCATTTCCATTCGGAAACCCGGCGAAGCGTGCGTTTTACAAATTATTCCTCTCGGCGTATTCTCGAATTACCTGTAAATTCTGATTTGAAATTAATCAAACTCACCTACGTTTGATCAACGTTGCCAACACGTTATCGAGAGACAATAGAGCCAGACGGCTCTCTCGCCTGTACATTCACTAGGAGAAATAGTAATATAAAATACAATACGTTTGAAGCAATGTTTAGTTTATGCTGTCACGAATCGATTTCTTTCTGTATTTCCAACAGAATCAAAATTGCAATCTTCGGTATAAAAAATAGGTAGTTAAATAAATAGTATGAAATTGATAAAAACAAGAAAGATAACAAGCAAATGAAATAAAATGAAAGAAATTTTGACTTTCAATGAAATTAATTATTAAACTTAAAAAAAAGAGAGATTACAAAATTATAAGATTTATAAAAATAAATATAAAAATAATTATTAAATAAATGTTGAAGTATAAATAACGATATAATGATAATTTTCAAGAAATGAAAACTTAGAATACTAATTAATGTTGCAATTCCGATTTGTTTATCTATAATAATTTATAAGAAATTTTTACTTTCTGCTTATGACTTATAATAATATTATAATAATATATTAATAAGTACAATATGTGTCTGTGAGTGCGTGTGTGAGATAATTATTAAAATGTGAATACAGCATTTTATTTATTCGTGTATAGGTACAAAGATTTAAGAGAGAGACTATAATATTAACTGATTTAAAATCAGAAAATTATTTGATTTATTGTTAAGGCAATTTAACATGACAGTCATGGATGCCTGAAAAAAATCAATTCAAGAATGCAGATATTTTTTCTTGCATGGTCTTGCCCCTTTTCTGTCCTCGATGCTTCCTGTCGGAAATTAACGAGGGGACAGTAACGAATCACTGTCTTCCTTCTGCCACGTGCGGTCTTGAAATGAGCCGAGCATATGATTAATCTGTTGCTATTGTATTGTTATTTTTATCACACTAGAAACTAATTTACATCTACGTAATTTTGTAGCTATGAGTTATTGAAGAACTAGGGAAATTTAATTATCAGTCTTCAGGTAAATAGATAAAAAGCTATTATTTATTTTAAGTTTATGTGTTGAGAAATTTTAATATTTAAATATTCAAAAAATATATATTAATCAAAACATTACAAAAAGTAAATAATGAAACTTCCGCTTGGAGAAGAATCTATTTATAATTTATGGTTTTGTATATACATACATACATACATATATACATATATATATATATATATATATATATATATATATATATATATGGTTTTATTCATATTTATGATTTTATATATAAAAAAATCTGTATATATAAATTAATAAAAAACTATTATAGAAAGTCTTACATTTATCGTGCATGTGCGCGCTGATATACAGAATTATTTCTAAATACAACGGCTGCTAAAAGGGGAACATAAATATGGGACGAGGAGTGTCGCCAGCGGATGTGCAAGTGGCAGCACGGCATAGTTTTAAACATGAAACAATGAGAACTAGCGACATGGTCAGTTGCAATCGAGCTAGGAGTGGACTCGCTCGTATATGATCAATTATTATCATTTAGAAGCTACGCCTGACAAAACTCGGCTAAGATTGCGAATGCGCTTGAAATTTACAATGCGGAAAAGAAGCGAAGAAGAAGAATAGGAAACCGACAATTTTTTAGATAAAGATCTGATTAATGTGCACTGTGTTTAATTAGCGTAACGAACGAGTAATATATACTTGTAAGCATATGAAATAATAATACGATTTTGTTTTGTTGAAGAGAAATATACGTAAGAAATATGACGTAGGTCATCGTTTCAATTAAAAATATTACGCCGATTAAGAGAGCGGAAGATATATTTTGTATTTAAAGTAATTGCAATATATTATCATCTAAAATTAAAATTATAATAAAGATCATTAATTTGCTCACAAAAATTGGAATAAGAAATAATTAAAATATTAAATTAAAATGTTAAATTGTTTGGTTTCATAAAACTTCCTCAAAATAAGATAGTTTAAATTTCTAAATCCTAGAATCTCAATTTTTATATTTCCATCACTGCGAATTTTTTTCGTTATCGCGAAAAGCAATCTAATCTATCAATAAAAAAAATGGGAAAATTCTTGCATTTATCGAGCGATTACATTCCTCATGGATTTTATTATATTCTATATACTCTATCATATTCCATATAATTATTTTATAGTATTTAAAAATTGCTTTAATTGGATTGATTTTAGCTTCGCTTGAGTACAGAAGATTTATTCTGCGATCTAATCAGTTAATTATCAAGGAGAATAATACACATTCCTTTCTTGTTTCAATCAACTCACATTCCTTTCTTTTCAATCGAGTCAGCTCGATACTTAGAAGTACAGTAAAGTCTCAATAATTCCAAGTTTTGTAAAGTAAGTTTAAAGAGTTTAACTTACAATCAGAAAGAGTTAAAAGAAAAATTATTGATAGTTTGTTTAAAGTAAAGTAATTTCTTCTTTTTCTTCTTATTCGAATGATGCAAGCATACAATCCAAGATAAGCGTGTATCGAGTTTAATTTTATATTATATTATTTTTTTTATCTTTAATCTACTATTTTTTACGTTTACATTATCTTTATCTTTAATCTATTATTTTCTACGTTTTATGTAATCCGAGTTTATGGTAATGCTGATTAATTATGATCCTATTCAATCCCAACTATTGCGGTTTTATTATCTCTATTATCGTAAGTCATTTGATGATCGATAACGTGTCAATCGAAGGTGATGGAGATACAAAAACTGAGTGTTTTTATAAAAATTATGCCAGCAGCAGACCGAGACCTCAGTAATTAGAGCCGCGCGTGTACGCCATACTTTTATCACCGCCTCGGAGTTTCTTAACTTCATTAATTGCTGCAACCTCATTGCGGCAATTTGATGCTCCGCTCTAGAGATCATTATAAGTTAGGTGGCGAGACGCACTTACCGTTCGCACTTGCGTATATCTACGTCCGCGATATGCGCAGTGCGCGTTGCACGAGCGCATGTACATAGCTGCAGCAATTACTTAAGGCCCGTGCGATGTAAGACGTTCACGTAACTTGGCCAGCGAAACTTTACCGGTTACTGTCTTAGTCTCATCCATTAGTAGTACGATCCGACCTGCAACGCGGTTGCGGTTACGTGTCTTGCTTTAACGCTTTAGCGTCTCCACGCAACCAAGTTTTTATCAATATTGTACAAAGTTTGCTAGTGACAGGAGACGGTATACCGGCTATTAATTCGTGAATACTTAAAGAAAATTGATCAAATAATAGAGAGGGAAGAAGGTTACATTTGCGCGTTTTACAATAAACTTCTTCTCTCGAATATATCGAGTAATTTTCTTTTAAATTGTCGAAGTTATTTGAGATTATTTAATGTAATATTTTTTTCGTTGAAAAAATTTATTTTTTATACGAATTTTTTTTAATAATCTCAGTAGTTAACATTAATTGCATTTAGCATTATAATTTAATATTATATAGATAATATGCTTTAAATATAGATTATTATAAAGTTTAAAATCAATTACGCTTAAGGTCGAGAATAATGAATAATTGGAAATCATATAAACACACAATTGCTATTATATTTTTCTAATATTATAAATACACACACACACACACACACATATAGATGTATAAAATATATATTATATATATTATATATTATTATATTATATATATATATATATAAAATATAATAATATATAATATATATATATATATATATATATATATATATATATATACTCTTAACATGATGAATTATTAGCAATTAGCGTTCTTATTGAAATGAGAACATTTTATTAGCAATTATCTGCGTATCAATAGTTGAAGTTTGCTAGCTGCGTCAAATCAATTTCCTTTCTACATTGTTCCTTATGATGGTATTTAATATGAAAAGTCGATTTGCATTCTCTATTGTGGAAGAAACATTATCGCATTAATTTAAACACGCCAATGTTAACAATGAGTGGCCGGAAAGAATGATCAATATTGGGGGAGAAAAATATCTTCGGGAATCACTTCCGAAGATCTTTGAGCATTGAGCCATAATTAATTGGGCTCGGTGTTGTAAATTGCCGAATTAATGGCGAAATTAAAAAGGAAGACGAATGAGGGGGAGCGACTTCTTGCAGTCTCGAGGTATCTTACATTGATTCCGCAATTAGCTATCGATTCGTCTGATAGACGAAGACAGGAGTCAAATCGAGAAAGTCGACTCCCTTGCCTCCGAGTCATCTCGATATACGCCTCCTTCATCTTCTTTCTTTCTCTCTCTTTGTCGGCTGCTCTCTTTTCCTTTTAGATCCACAATTAGGTTAATTAACTCAATTATCGTTCTCTTTCTCCCTTGTTTCAGGTGCGCACCTTGTTCGTGAGCGGCTTGCCGATGGACACCAAGCCGAGGGAGCTCTATCTACTCTTCAGAGCGTACGAGGTGAGTCTCTAAGAATTTGCTCTCTTTCTCTATTTGTTTTATTTTATATATAGATACATTACTGTGCGATGTTGAGATCAAAGAGTAAAGCGCGAAAGGATTCAAGATTTTAGGAGCTAGATATTCTCTGATGTTGATGCGCGAAGACCTAATCGTAAATGCAAATGATATTGACCTGGATCTAAAGTTCAGATTAATATTTATCGCGACCGTATTTTATATGAAAAATAATACCGTCGAAAATGGAGCTCAAAAATTCGAGACTTTTGCGAATTGAAAGAAATTGGTGAAAAGCATGAATTACATAACTCTCAGGATGTTTTGATTTTAAAAATTTAAACGTGTTAGTTTTTTTATGTCTTGATGCTTTAAACTTTACGGTATTATACTACTAATGAAAATATATTATTAATTAATTTTACAATTAAATTATTTAATAACAATTATATATTTTATAATTAATTTGATTCTATCTTATTTATCATAGATTCATACATATAGATTTGAATATTCGAAGAGCTCTAGAAACACACGTTATATAATTGATTATATATTATTATATTGACGTTTTTTTCCAAGAAAATATGGGATTTGAGAAATGTCTTGTTTTTATCATTTTCGCATTAATTACTTCCGTATTTCGCGCCTGGCTCTTCGCATGTCACACTTAATTCGTTATGTTGAGGTTCAATAAGCTCATCTACATTTTATCGTTCTCGCGGCATCGCGCGAAACACAATGTTATGACTGAAGCGTTCGAACTGTATTCACAAGGGGAATATTCCCCTTATGAATCATGCTCGTCTACGCCGACCGCCCGTCGCGAGAGAGACGGTACTTCTCTATAACGTCATATTTGCACGGCTTGGTATCCTAGGTTAGTTTGTCTAGGGGGTTAATTATGTCGGTGCCAATTACGAGTTTGCGTTCCGAACTCCATCAGTAGAGGCGAAAAATCGATAGCGATTAGATCTGACGATAGTCTTTGTGTTCCACAATTTAACTATAAAAACGCTCATTATTTTTCTCATTCATATTGTGATTTTCTGAATTCAAAAGCGTAAATAAATAAAAAAAAAGTTATTTCAAACAAACAAAAATATTAAGAATTATATAAAAAATAAAATTAATCACATCTAATTGCTAACATCCTAATTGTTAAATCTCACTACTCTTTATCTATTTATTTATTTTATTATTTTGAAATTTTTATTATCATAGTAAGTGAAATGATTGAAGTGATTTTTGTAACGAATCTGCCGAAATTTGTCGAAGACTTTGCTACAAGTTTAAATACGATTCGTATATGTCTAGACCGAAATTCAATCACGGTTTAAGCTTACAGCGGTTAGAGAAGAAAGAAACCATGGTCATTTATAGCAGTGAAAGCAAAGACAACGGGGAAAAACGGGGAAATTGTTCTCGCTCCATTTGGAAATCTCCCTCGAAAGTTAAATCCGGGAGATTCTCTCGAGCGTGTCGTTATTCGCCGGCGAAAAAGACGGCGTAATGCGGCGGGTTTTTTTGCACTCCTTTTACTTCATTCTTGTTTTGTATATTCATGATATCATCGTGAGTAGTTTGTTCAAAGGGATTAGGATTAGTCGTATGCATATGTTTATATTTTTGTCGGTACTGCGAGCTCCAATGTGAACGAAGTATATATAGAGACGTCCGAGCATATCTTCTTTTTTACGTAACAATCTCTCAAGGCACTTTAAATAATTATTTTACACAGCGAAGTGTATGATGTTGAAGAGGCTTTTATTAAATTGGAATTATCTTAGTGTTCATACATATGCGGATAAAATTACATGCATATACTTGTATTAAATTATAACAGTTTAATAAATTAATAATAATTTTGAGACACAATTACAATAACATAGATACTATGTGAAAATTGATAAAACTAAATAAAAATAAAATTACTAATGCAATCACATAATGAACATCACATTGTGATATAACGTCGTATATGTATATTATTATGCTAATTGATCTCACTCTAAATATTGTTGTTTAAATTTTAAATTGATTTCCATTAGTTCTATAACTCTTTTAATGAATTTACAGATAAAGTTTTCTTACCGTAAATTTTACATTGATACTTTTTAGTATTTTCTCAAGTTTAATTACCTTCGTTAAAATTCTGTTAAAGTCTAAATTTACTTAAAATTAAATGAAAAATTTTATTATTTGTATTTATCCAGAAACTTAATGTGTTATATTTTTTTGTTTAGTCATTTATAATAATCATGCGCTTTCTGAATAATTTTAATAAATAAAATTTTAGATGCAACTTTTGATTGATGTATTCTGATTGATGTATTTTGTTTATAATACATTAGAAAATAATAATATTTATTTATATATAATTTCTTATGCGATTACGAAATATTATTTCCATTCATTTGCTTCTGTATTCTTGTGATGATATAAATAGAACTCTTCATTTTACAAACAAACAAAAAATTATTGCATATATACATGATAATATGCAATAAAGAAAGACATTATTAAAACAAGAAACCAAAATTGTATTACGATGTACAAATTATGAATGCGGAAAGCCGCGCGTTTTCTCATATAATGTTCATCGGCGACGGTGTAGAAATATATTGATGGCAGTTGTCTTATATACATAAATTACCACGACTTCTCGTATCAAGAGAGAACGCAATTTCTTGGCATCGATATGCCAACACATAACTGGCGACGAGGGACAATAAACCTTGAGAGGTGTGAGTGCGTTATTTTCGCTCGCGAATTTCTTGATTCACGCGCGAAGAGTCTTGTCGCATGAATCCGGATATTAATCGTCTTTGAAATATCGTAACATTAAACATGGTGCATAATATGTCGCGCAACCCGTTTCCCACGCGAATTTATGATGAATTTTCAGCACGCAGGAAGAAGAACCGAGCAGATTAGTCGCTCGTCGCTATAACGAAACTTTCAGAGGCGCGCAGAGAATTTGCACATTTTATCGAGCGAGCACAACATATGAACGGTGAAAGCTCGATTATACCCCCCGGAGGACCAGGTTTTTAATGACTGCAATATTTCATAGTTAAGGGAAGTTAATTAATAATGTGCCAGGCGCACGCGCCGAAAGCGTCAAAAATGTTGAAAATAAATATCTAGGAAATATTACATCTTTTGGTTAAATTTAAGATATATGTTTAGAAATGAAATGACAAGTAATAATAAAATTTATAGCATTACATGTATTAATATATATATATATATATATATATATGTTTTAATGAAAATTGCATAAAAACAATTGATTGATTCAATAGTTTTTATGCAATTTTCTAAAAATCTAAAACCAGATTTCCCTTTTCTGGATAATTAAGATTTTATATATATGTGCAATATTGAATTTTGAAGTGTTTGAAATGTTTGTCTCAGTTGATATTAAAAATTAAGTAGCGATATATTTTATAATTAGGAAAGATTGATGCGAGATTAAGATGATAGTGATTGCCAAGAATGTTGTAATAGATATCTGAGAAAATCTGCATACCAATTTATGCATCTAATCTAATGCGAAATGTGTCACGCAAAATAAAAATTTATCATTAATTTATCTGTGAATTATTAATGAAAAATTACACGAAGATAATCAATCCAATTAAATATTTTAAGTTCTGCAATTAATAAATGTTATATATTATAACACATATTCTTATAAACTTTAATTAATTAAAATTCATAAATTCATAAATTTATTATATATACCAGAAAACAATTTTTTTTTACATTATATTTTTAAATAATATTTTATTTAATATTTAAACGATGTAGAAATTCAATTGAATCCAAACAAAAGATGTACAATTTAGATCATTTCTATAATTCATTAGTGAGTTATGATACTTCTATAAATTGCGAAAATAGTAAAGTACTTTTTGCAGTCGATTCAACTTTAAACTCGAAAAACATTTTACGGTATGCCGAATAGGCAATTCGAGACTTACGGCATTCTCTAATTACAGCTTCGTTAATTAGCACTTCTATCATGATCGCGCGATTATTAACAGTTTGCTACTCTGGTAATGAGCACCGAGTTACAACGCTCGCATATAATCGAGTGTTCATCTCATGCATCATAAAAATTAAGGAAATGTTTTCACTGTAAGGATTTTTTATTTTTCGCGATAGTATGAAGCAACATAGTTACGATAACGCAATAATGAGACTTATTTAGCTCACGGTAAATTGAAACGCTCTTATGTATGATTAATAATTGGCTTTCCTCAACGCGAAATGGAGTAAGATACATTTGCAATGGGTCGCTTAATAATTTAAGTGATAGTCGAGAATTTCCCTGATATCTTAGAATTTGTGTCAAATATTTAAAATATGTGAATGTGTCGTGCTCCACTTTCCACTTTTCGATGCTTTGCTATTTTTAATGTCTTCGTAAATTCTGTCGCTAATGGATCCTCGATGAGATTTTGACCCAGTCTTCATGTATGCGCACTATATTTTCCAAAATAGAAAATGCATTTCTCTTGTACCTAGTTATTTATAAGTATTAGAAAGAAATGTAATGTTTTACAAGATCAAAAAAAATGTTAGATTTTAAAGATTACACTGTAATGGATATTATTTCCATAAATAAACTTAAATTGCGTCGATGCTAATGATCAATTTTGTCGTATTTGTGCGATCATATTTAAAAAGAATAAGAAAAAAGATTTTAGATTTATAGTAAATTTTTCCCAGCGAATTGCTTTTATAATGTCATTCGTTTTGATTATTTACAACATTTTACGCGTGTTTAACGCCAGACAATATTTGCACCTGTTTACATACATATATGGTATAATGATTTAAAACTTAAAAATAACAATCATCTTGCTCAATTTTCCAGATATGTATAACAATCCAACGCTCATGCGTCGAATTTTCATGCGCTTGACATTGTGTATGTGCGTGAAATCGATTTCACGTTTGTTAGAAACCAATTTCGTTTGTGTAAGATAAGAATAGGCATGACGATGTAACGCATGAAATATGGATTTGTGATTAATGGCATGATAATTACTACAGAAATGTACATCACACGTTATATCATGTCATCGAATTCAAATTCATGATAAAATGAGAACGAGATATTGGAGTTACAATGCGAAAATTTCAGAAAAGTTGATTTTCTAGAAATCGTTAATAAAAATAAAAAAAGCAGTTTTTTCCAAATTTACTTGTATTAAACGGGCTATTTTTTAAATTTTATCAAATTTCTCAAAAAAACACAATCAATATTTATATTATATTTAATCATTTAAAGATATAAAAGTAAAGCATATACAATAATTTGTATTTTTCAGTTTACAGTATAAGTGAAAAATAAATATGTACGCTTTGCTTTTATCTATAAATTTTTAATATAAATTTAAACATGAATTTTTTTATTGAATATAACTCTTTTAAATATAACTTAATTAAATATAAAATTTATTTAAACACATTCATATATAAACAATTCATATCACTAAATATAAAATTTATATTTTTTAAAGTTTAACAAATTTTTATTTTATCATATTACAATTATTTATCATGTATTTTAATATAAATACGTATATAAATCTTAATAATATTTTTCGTGTTTCAGGGGTATGAAGGGTCGCTACTAAAAGTCACGAGTAAAAATGGAAAAACAGCATCGGTAAGTTGTTATCGTTTAATTGACGAATTATGATTCGCTATTATTACATCTTCCATATATGTTTTTTTAATATCTACCCTGAAAAGCTCAGTAGTTTTTAAATAAATAAAATCTTTTTTATATCTAGATTCGCGTGTAAAGTAATTCGATATATACTATCGATATACACTATTTTTTCATGCGTTTGAGAAGACGGAAAGATAAAATTGGATCTCGGCTTTTCTTGAGCGAATTTCTACGAAATGTACATTTCGAGAAAATTCCAAATCAATTACGTGTAGGTGAAACTGGCGAAAACTCTCTCTCTCTTTTTTTTCTCTTTCTCTCTTTCCTTCTCTTTTTCTCTAGCACAAATATTCTCAAGAGAAAAACGAATGGGAAAAGTTGGTCAAACCGCAAGTTTTGATCGGATTTTCAGGATACGGAAATTTTATGTGATTTCATACAATGCTATTCATATCTGTCGATTTTTTATCGACTTCCTTATATTAACAATAAGATTGTATGCAATACATTAAATGTCACTTATGTACATAATAATCGCATATTTTTCCACAGGCTGATTGAATTAGAATTTATAGAAAGTTTACATTTATAAGAATAATAATTTACAAAAATTCGTAACTATATTATTTAAAAAAAAGCTAAATTATTAATTTTCTATGTATAAGAGATAATTATGACAAATATATTTCAATTCTTTTTTGTGCCATATTACATAAATTTTGGACTCTTGTGAATTAAAATTGCATTTTGAAATATGTCACAATGATTACTTAAAACAGTGGTTGATTATATAAAAGGTTTTTTTATATATATTCAAAGCGCGCTCATTGATTATGTGCGTCACGAAGTACTAAAAATACTTAATCAGAAAGAAATACATCAAATTTTATCATGCGGCAATGCCATCGCGCGCGTTCTATTCTATCCAATATAATCCCCCGAGATAACATTAATTTATGCGACGACGCTGGTACGGTACACGCGAGAGTATAGTGACGCCGTAAAATCCGTAATCCATAAACCACATTTTAACATTTTTTTAGTCTGATATTCACTTTTTTATATAGTCTTTACTTATATTTTGCGCGCACAATACATGCAACGACTTTTTAAAATAAAACCATACGATTATATCAACCGCAAAAGGATCGCATTTCATCCGAAGATTAAATAATTAATAATGAATGCAAAAAAAATTATACGGGACTATTACATATGGCAAAACTTTGAGTTCCCTTATCATTCTTTGGTTATGTTCTTCATAGTACAAATGTGATAAAAATTACTTCATAGTACGAATGTGATAAAAATTACGATATCTTTGAACGTATATAAAAATGAACGTATGATAAAAATTACGATATCTTTGAACGTATATAAATTTAGATTTATTTTATAATTTGTGAGTTGCAAGATAAGGTAAATTTAAAGATCTGGAAATTCTTGGATAGTTATAGATTTTTTGAGTTATCAATCTTGAAAGTTATGAATTCACATAGCACTATAGAACTTGAAAAATGTATTTTATATATATATATATATATATATATATATATATATATATATGGCATCTATCAACCTTTAATTTTATAAAAATATTTCTTTTAAATATATTATGATCTCTGATTTTCGAATTATATTCTCGGGCATATCTCAATTTTTTTTCATCTTTAAATATATTATATAGATCTAAATCTTAATTTAATAATTAAGTTCTTGAACAAAATCTATAAAGATTTCAAAATATTCGAATAAAAGATAATTATTTAAAAAAAAATCGATTTAGATTTTTAAAACGTATATTATTTAATATATTATTCTTTATATTCATAAAAAAATTCAAATTTTGTCTTTTTAAAGTCAAAGCTTGAAAAATTACGAGCTTTGGTTCGTTTCTGTAAACTCCATCTAAGTTCATTATTGATTATTAAGATGATTTGTAGAATATTACATGAAAAATGTAGTTAATAACATGTTTTCGTTCCTACGCGGTTTGACCTCGTAACTAGCGCGGAACGCAAGCAGTGGCTTGTAATGGCAGTAGTGTGATGTAATTGGATATAATATGAGCAGAATGCGAATAAAACAGGCGAAAGAGGTGTAGTCGAGAGGCATGATTTCCGTGTGAATAGTGCTTAAACCTCCTTGGCCACTGGCACGGTTGGGTACGACTGACTGTACGAATCGATACCGGGTCAGGCCAACCTTTCTGCTATTTGTTTCCTTCGGTCATCGTTGCACCGAGAAAAGCAGGAAAGAGGAGCAGTTTCTCTCAAAAAACAGCAATGTGATGAAAAGATTGTCAAATGTTGTTAGAAGCTTTTGTTGTCTCGCATTCTTCTATTATCTAGCGCAATGTGCCATTGCAGAGTTCGTACAAAGCCCTTTGTAGCTCGGTGATGATGATTTATCTCTGCGCGTTGGAGTCTTCTATAAGTTAAAATTTATCTTTTCTAGATTCAATTGATATTGCAGTTTTCTCGTTTTCACGCAATAACTCGATTCGATTTCAGCTTACAATTAATAGGATTAAATCGATCGTGTGATGAAAAAAAAGTACTTTCAAATAAAAATTTCACATCTGTTATTGATTGATTTGAAACAGTTTAAATTATAGATCGTGCAGTTATTGTTTTAAGCTTTGATTTTAATTTATTTGTGACGATTGAATAAGTGATATCAAGTATATTGAACAAGTAACATATTTATTTGTCTTTAAGGAAAACTTTTATTTCCCGTTATATTTCCATTTAACGCCAACGACATTTTTGGACGGTGAAATTAATATAATTATCATTTCCTTAACAATTTTATTAACGATAACCTTATAATAATGAATCATTAATTTATTTAAAACTTATCATATTATATGAGTCCCTCTACCAATATCAAGCATATCGATTTTACGTTCTATTTCATCACGTTTGAATCAATGACTTTTCTGTAAGGGAAAAAACGCTTTTCCAAAATGAATCAAAGTATATTAAATTTCAGAGCACACGTCGGCGTAGCTTTAAACACATGACAACCTTTTCTCTAAACAACGAGCGACGTTATAAAATCCGCGACGTTGGCGTTATCATAAATTCCCAAGCCTTTCGATTATACGTGACAGTGTTGTACTTTGTGTGTGCAAGGTAGTGCCTCTATATCTACTTCTATCTGGGGTTACGTGCATAATTGCATGCACATTTACATGGCCGTGGCGCATATGGGCGCGAGTTGTCGCCGCGGTGACGGCGGTGACGGCGACGCCACAAAGAACTCTGGCGCTCCAGAAGAAAAGCCGATACTAAAGCGTTGCACTATCGCGGTCCGTATATCAAGAGTGTATTGGTGTGCAACAACAAAAAAAAAAGAAAAAGAATGAAAATACGGGAGGAATCGATCGTCTCTGTCGGGCGTTTTGCACGCATGACCATTAACCTACATCACATCACGATGCATGTATTGATAAAAAACCGCTCGACGCGGCAAAACGATTACGTATTACGTTTGGGTATTCCGTGTTCCGATAAGAATAATTCCGTGAATTCGCGTAATGCACGCTAGTGAGGCAGGTCACACGCTTACACGTTGCAGCGTGGTTATATCTAATATTCGAATCGATAGAAACGGATTGCATTTGCCGTGGAATAAAAACGGGTCGGTCGGCGCGGTGCATACCACATTTGCGAGAATTGTGAATGTCTATTATATCCACCAGGTGAAAGTGCGGTAGATTTGTTTTTTTTTTGTTCGTGCTTTCAGCTGCGATAGCAATTCTAGCTTAGAATCTACGTGAATTATCAGATGAAACTATTATGACATTTAATGCGAATAATCAATGAGTCCTCTAATATTAAAATCTATCATCTCGTTCAGTAGATCATTACACGATCATTACATTTATTTTCCATCCTGTTGCAAAACTAAAAATGTTTTTAAAAGAATAATATATGTTTTATTTCTATCATATATTTAGCAATATATTACATTTAATACTAAACTAATACTAAGCTATTAAAGTTATGTTATTACCAATTATGGTTGATATTATATTAAGTTCAGAGCTAAAAAATATAATAAACAATTATTAATAAAAAATACAATAAAGAATTAATAGAAATTTCTATCTAGATAATTAAACACTATGTACATTGTGCGGCATGTATCTGTTTTTCGTTTTTGAAATGTTTCGAGATCGAGCGCACTCGATCGAGGTGAGATCCAATTTTATTCTTTCGGATGCATGAATATTCGAGGGACGCGGTGTGGAAATAAACGGCAGCGAGTAACGAATCCTCGCGTTAACGATCGGGCATTTCTGTCTCTCGCATCGTAGAATCGACACCTTCGATTTCACCCGTTGCAATCACGCGATGCATTATGAAGCGCAATAGGTTCACCTTGATGGCCGATCGTTAGTACGATTGATCCGTGCGTTTCTCAGGACGCTTGGCGTCCTCCATTGCTCCGTTAATTCCGTATAAACCGATGAAATCGATGCCGTTTACTGAATAAATTAGCGAATGCGCGCGCGCAGATAAAAGGACGAATGCTTATACTATGAGAAAGAAGCGATATGCAAATGGGAGCACGAGCAAGAGACAAAGAATGCACGATAAAGGTTCAACGAGATCTTTTAAATGATCAGTTGTCAAAATATTTCTTTTATGACTGCGACAGTATGCCGAAGTATTTTTACATTTACTTGTAAGAAACTATAAATATATATAAA